AGGCAGGAGAATCACTTGAACGTGGGAGGTGGAGGTTGCAGTGAGCCAAGATCGCGCCATTGCACGATCTTGCCTGGGGGACAGAGGGAGACTCCTCTAGAAAAAAAAAAAAAAAAAAGGCTGATCTAGAGCAGGGAGGACCTGAGGGGTCAGAGGACAGGGCTGGGAATTCTCTGTGGAGAAGGAAAAGCCAGGAAACCATCTCAGGCAGTGGAGGGGAGCAGTGAGGGGAGCAGTGGAGGGGAGCAGTGAGGGGAGCAGTGGAGGGGAGCAGTGAGGGAAGCAGTGGAGGGGAGCAGTGAGGGGAGCAGTGAGGGGAGCAGTGGAGGGGAGCAGTGGAGGGGAGCAGTGAGGGGAGCAGTGGAGGGGAGCAGTGGAGGGGAGCAGTGGAGGGGAGCAGAGGAGGGGAGCAGTGGAGGGGAGCAGTGGAGGGGAGCAGTGAGGGGAGCAGTGGAGGGGAGCAGAGGAGGGGAGCAGTGGAGGGGAGCAGTGAGGGGAGCAGTGGAGGGGAGCAGTGGAGGGGAGCAGTGGAGGGGAGGCGCAGGGCAAAGGCGGTTTTCTCCTTGGGCTGGGAGAAGACAGACAGAGGCCCAGGGCCCTGTGACCTGGCTGAGCCCCAGAGAAGGAGAGACACTGGCCTATGAGAAGCAAGACATACACCCACGATGTGACTCCCAGCCAGACACAGCCCAGCTCCACCTTCAGACACACCCACAAACTCAGGCACCCATGTCCTTGGAAACACAATCACACGCACAGAGAAGAGCCTTCCGGCTGACGACAACCCAGACCGTGAGGATCAGGCTGAGGGCGATCTGGGTGGCAGCAGCCCTCCTGCCTTGCAGCTGCTACAGGACAACTGCAGCCTCTGTGTCCTGGCCAGGGACTGTGGCCTCCTGACCAGCAGGGCCTCTCCAGGCACCCGGGGCTCCTAAGCACCTTTGCTGCCTCCTTCGTCCTCAGGTCTGGAAGTACCAGCATGGCCCTTCCTTCCTCACAAGACTACAGAAGAGCTCCCAAAGGGCAGTCTCAGCCGTGTCAGATTCAGGAGGGAGGGTAGCAGGGAAGGGACTGTGGCCCCATTCTGCAGATGAGAGAACTGAGGCTCAGTATGGAGAAGCAGCTCATCCATGGTCACCCCCCAGGGTAAAAGCCAAGTTGGTCAAAGAACCTGCTTCCCTATGTCCAGGCTCACAGTCCATACCACAATCTGCGCTTCTTTGCTCTCGCCTTAGCAATCTGAGCCTTCATCCAGTTAAACTAGCTCCAGGGGTTGGCCCCAAAGGGAGGCTGCTTGGCACAGCCACTTCCTAGGGTGGGGCAAGCAGGAGAGACCCCGGGCTTGCCCGAGGAATCCCTGCCCTTTCTTCCAGCCACAGACAAGCCTGAAAGGTTCAGTGCTAATCCAGAGACGGGGCTACGTGGGGCGGGGGGCAGTACCGGCTGCCAGTCTCCTGCCCACCAAAAGGCTGACCTGAGCTACCAGTTAAACTCTTCTTCCAAAAGGGAAGACGAAGAGAGGAGTTAAACCCTTGCCTGGGAACCTAAAGCCTGGGTTCTAGTCCAGCTCTGCCTCTCCCTCCTGTGTGACCCCAGATGGTCACTTGCCCTCTCTGGGCCAGTCATCTTCACCTGAATGATGATGGTTGGGCCAGATGATTGCTAAGGCCTGGAACCTGGAGCCAGGGCAGTTCTGGGGTCGTCCTCTTATGGAATGTCCAGCTGAAGTGGACATCGGAGGTCAACCAGTCTGATTGCCACTTCCCTGCAGCCCTGCAGTGCCCCAGAACTTTCGCCCTACAGTAGTCACTCTGCGACAGCAGCCTGACCCAGAAACTCCAAACACATTTGCTGGTGGTTCAGCCCCAAAACATCCTGGTTGAGATTTGCCAAATTATCTCCAGACAGAGCTCCAAGCCCTATACCCACAGCTTTTTCCCCAACACTGTCGGTCCACTCCCTCCCCTGCTCCCCATCACCCTACCTCAGTGGTGCAATTACTCCACAAATATTTATTGAGCATCTACAATGTGCCAGGCACTGTTTCTGCAGCTGGGGATACAGTAGTGAACAAGTGGACAAAATTTCC